AGATTGATTATTTTATAAGCTTTATAAGCTTACCTCCTCATCCTGCAATATAAAAGGTCTGTACTTGTTAGGGCTCGTCCTTGAGTCTTTGATGTTCCGTTTCTCCACAACTCTAACCTTACATGTCCATTCCTTTTTGTTGTCATTTATTCCACTGATCATTCCACCTTACATGTCCATTCCTTTTTGTTGTCATTTGACTTTAGGATTAAGAGTTTGGGTCTATCTTTGCGATGGGATTTTGTATCTGGGTTGTCGGGTCACTAAAATTAATAATTTAGGGCTGGGATTTGGTGCTGGTTTTTGGGGCCTGTTGGTTGGGTTTTGAGTTTTGGGTTTAGACTTTGGGTTTGTTTTCGTGTTGGGTCACAAAAATTAAAACTAAAAGATCGTTTTAGGAAGACACATATTGTGAACCTAGGTATTACACCACAACTTAATATGATAAAATAAATTGGAAATTGAGAAAGTTAAACATAGTTCAGAACAAAAAATGATTTATGATTTTAGATTTTTTAACCCATAAATGGAGTTCAAAGACTGTGTGTTCATACCCTTATGTAGAATCTGGGTTAGGTTTTGGCGTTTGTGTTTGGGACAGGTTTTTGGGCCTGGGTTTTGGGTAGACTCTAGGTTGGGTTATAGAGTTTGGGATTGTTTTTGAGTCTGGGACTTTGGGTTTACTATTCGGGTTTTGGGTCTGGTGCTTTGGGCTGGTTTTTGGAAGAATGATGTTCCAAGTTCTTGCGGATTTAGGCGTATCTGTAATTAAAAAATGTTTCTTCTTTACTTCTACTAATTGTGGCAAACAACACACCAATAAACAAACCAAATAACTAATATCATTCTACCTGGGAGGATACCTGCTATTACAACTAAATTAATATCTGGGTTGATGGGTCAGTGAAATTAATAAAAGATTGTTGAAGGGAGACACATATTGGCTGAGAGGATATTGATAGATAATGAAACTCATGGGTCGGAACAGTAGCCTTTAAATTATGCCAGTTTTTTCTTTGAGATGTGGTACCTTTGAATGGTAACTATTTAGTTTCATACATTTGGAAGTGTCGGTTATTTTCATACTGTCCTAAGCTTAAAGACATATTAATTTAATTTATAGATGAATAACAAAATTCACCACACATACTTCGGGGTTTGTTTTAGATTTTTATGAAATTACTGAATTTCAAGCACTTTAAAAAGATCACATAAATAAAAAGCACTTCCAGATTATCTAACACATAAATGGATTTCAAACACTTTCAAACAACACCAGGATTTCAACCATTTGCATAATGGATTTCAAGCACTATCAAAGACGCCCTTAATATGAGGCAATGATTTAACACAGAAATGGAGTGCAAAGACTTCAGAAACAACACATAATAAACATCTGAAAACTAAGCTGCAGAATACGAAGCAAAAACACATCATACCTAAACCTCTATGGTTTCAATGAATGGATTGAATTAAAATTACCTCAAGAATGATGTTCCAAGGTCTTGCAGGTTGACGCGTACCTATATATGTAAAATGATCGTTTAGTTGCAATAATAGAAACAAAGAACAAAGACAAGAACAAGGAAAATAACTCATATAATCAAACCTAGGAGGAAACCTGGAGATGGTGCCTCATCCCATATCCCAAAAATTGAAAAAACAAATAGTGGTTGTTCGAGGTTTACTCTTTGGTAAGCTTTTACTTCTAGTTTACAAGTTTTAAGTCTTGAGTCTCGCTTTGCTTACTCGGGGTTAGGTTCTAGGTTTGGGTTAGAGTTTTTGTTTTTTTTGGGAGTGGGTTTTGGGTTTAGATCCGCATTTTAGGCTTTGGTACATCAGAGCTGGGTTTGGATCATGATTTTACTTTCTCCATTAGTTAAAGTAGGTTGCTGGCTAGGAGGATATTGAGTGACAGTGCCTGCGGCTGAGTTTAATGGAAACATTGTTGGGAGGGGTGGAAGTACGGGGCAGGATAAGGGGCATGGACTTGGGGAGAAAAATTTTGGATCCATCACACTCTTGAATACATGGAAATTAAATTACCTGAAGAATAATTTTCCAAATTGTTGCAGGTTCAGCCCTACCTGTAGGTGAAAAATGATCCTTCTTTCAGTAATAGAAACAAACAACAAAGAGAAGAACACGCCAAAGAACTCATAAGATTATGCCTAGGAGGTATCTTGGAGATGGTGTCTCATCCCATCTCCCAAAATCGAATATAAATAGCCCAACGTACATGCTGAAATAATTGGCAGGGGATTATTAAGAAAAGGAACCATAAATACAAGACGAGGAATCAGAGATGATGTTTCAATCATACCGGGAAATCTGCACATCTAATACGCAACCCCTAGAATCTGGAAATCTGAGGTTGATAGTATTTAGAACCACAACATTTTGATAGTATTTAGAACCACAACAAAAAACAAGACAGTAAAACGCAATTGCCTTAACTCAAAACACGACCTAGAGTCTGACCTAAAAATTAAAATCCAACGGATTGCACCCGCAAACCTAACGCAAATTTGATTGTCAAACACTAAAGTTAAAAGTCAACCTAGAACCTAACCCAAAACATAACCCAAAATCAGGTCCAAGCCCCAAAGTAAGAAACAAAATCCCTACCCAGAACCTTACCCGACAACATATTGCAGGGGTGCTTTAACCTATTCCCATGTTTAAAAATTGTGAATAAGTACAAAAGCAATGAATATGACATTAACAGGCTTTAAGAATGAAGACCAACCATTGTCTGGGGCATTTGACATGGTAAATATAGCCGGTTTAGTGGAATTTGAATGTCACGTGGCCTTAAGCACCTATTTGTAATAGTGTGGTTTTGATTAGAGTGCAGCAGTTCATATTAAGCCAATTTTTTTTGGGAGATATCCGACAAAAAGAGGAAAACCAATACCGGTACATGGTGAAATTTCCATTTTGTTGATCGGTGGAGGCGTTGAAATTTCCATTTTGTTGAAAGCACCGCCAAGCTCCAGCCAACAAACAAGACTCGGCATGAACCCTGTCACCAAATAGGACATGAAAGAGGTTAATAAATAGGAAAATCTCTTACCAAGGTGAATATTGTCAAATTGACTCTCCATCCAAGTATATATGTACAGTAATATTTTTTGTTATTGTGTTGTGTTTAAATTTTAACGTGGTGGAACTCATCTACTAAAAAATAATTTTTCTACTACGTTTCTTGACCTTTTGGATAAATAAACATTACCATTGAAGGGAGTAACGGTCACCCTTTTACCCAAAATTATTGGGTGTCGCCCACTCTCTAAAAGGGATGTTATATCCCGGCCTTGATTCATTGTGAAATCTTCCCAAAGAGTCAACACAACTGGTTTCATTCTTTTTAAGATGAAAGTAAAAATGTTAGATGTACACAATGTTAAGTAATTAGAATAACTATGTCATACTTACTCTTCATTCACAAGCATGAAATCATGTGTGGTTTTGGCATGTCCAGGAACAGAGACATACTCTCTGGGTATTCTCAGAATCACAATGGCCATGAAATCTAAATGTAGCAAACATAAAAAAAAGTTTAGATGTCACATCTTTGTGATTTTCCGTATTATGTTAATGGAGACTAATATTATTCACATACTGATTGGGGTTTTGGAACCGCATAAGTCATAGAAGTCAAAGAGTTGTGTGAGGATAGTGTCTGTCTCATTTGTTGCCTGAATTTGTTCTGATTTTGGGGCTGCCTCAATTCAAGTCTTTTAACTCAACATCTAAATGTAATTATAGTTTGCGGATGGGGGATCACCACTATACTTGGTTAGGCATGGCAGCAGCATTGCTTATGTAGTACGTGTTTTTGAGGCGGAGTATCTTATCACTTTGTTTAATGTCACCACTATTTGCGAGAGCAAGAACCTTGGTACCCTGTACAGAAATGGTTGAATGGAACATAATTAGTGCATGTAATATGTACGCTCTAAGATTGATTATTTTATAAGCTTTATAAGCTTACCTCCTCATCCTGCAATATAAAAGGTCTGTACTTGTTAGGGCTCGTCCTTGAGTCTTTGATGTTCCGTTTCTCCACAACTCTAACCTTACATGTCCATTCCTTTTTGTTGTCATTTATTCCACTGATCATTCCACCTTACGTGTCCATTCCTTTTTGTTGTCATTTGACTTTAGGATTAAGAGTTTGGGTCTATCTTTGCGATGGGGTTTTGTATCTGGGTCACTAAAATTAATAATTTAGGGCTGGGTTTTGGTGCTGGTTTTTGGGGCTCGTTGGTTGGGTTTTGAGTTTTGGGTTTAGACTTTGGGTTTGTTTTCGTGTCGGGTCACAAAAATTAAAACTAAAAGATCGTTGAAGGAAGACACATATTGTGAACCTAGGTATTACGACACAACCTAATCAAATAGGCCAATAGAGAAGACTCGGCATGAGCCCTGTCATCAAATAGGACATGAAAGAGGTCAATAAATAGGAAAATCTCTTGCCAAGGTGATTATTGTGAAATTGACTCTCCAGCCAAGTATATATGTACAGTAATATTTTTTGTTATTGTGTTGTGTTTAAATTTTAACGTGGTGGAACTCATCTACTAAAAAATAAATTATCTACTACGTTTCTTGAGTGACAGTGCCTGCGGCTGAGTTCAATGGACACATTGTTGGGAGGGGTGGAAGTACGGGCTGGATAAGGGTCATGGACTTTCCATATTCCCTGGTCTTGGCAGCAAAGACAAATGCTCTCAAGCATCCAGCATTCCAGATCCCGTCCAGTGAAACCAGCAGATTCTTGTGCAGCAACCATTACCACCCCCTGTTGCACCCAATAGTCTACTGGTATTGTTGTACCTTTCAACTGTTTATTACTGACCCTTCTTTCAGTAATAGAAACAAACAACAAAGAGAAGAACAAGCCAAAGAACTCATAAGATTATAACTAGGAGGAATCTTGGAGATGGTGTCTCATCCCATCTCCCAAAATCGAATATAAATAGCCCAACGTACATGCCGAAATAATTGGCAGGGGATTATTAAGGGAAGGATCCATAAATACAAGACGAGGAATTAGAGAAGACGTTTCAATCATACCAGGAAATCTGCACATCTGATACGCAACGCCTAGAATCTGGAAATCTGAGGTTGATAGTATTTAGAACCACAACAATTTGATAGTATTTAGAACCACAACAAAAAACAAGACAGTAAAACGCAATTGCCTTAACTCAAAACACGACCTAGAGTCTGACCTAAAAATTAAAATCCAACGAATGGTACCCGCAAACCTAACACAAATTTGATTGTCAAACACTAAAGTTAAAAGTCAACCTAGAACCTAACCCAAAACCAAACCCAAAATCAGGTCCAATCCCCAAAGTAAGAAACAAAATCCCTACCCAGTACCTAACCCAAACACCAATTGCAGGGGTGCATTAAGCTATCCCCTAAGAGAGAATATAAAAAGCTACAGGGAACGGTCCACCCAATGTTTGTTAAGGGAAAAACCCGATGTCTGTTAGGATAATTTCAATATTCAAATTAACATTTTCCAACAATAATATCATAATATAAAATTATCATGCCCAAGATCCGAATCCATGAATGTTTGGATGGAAGAAAGATCAAAACAGTCTAAGATATCATTTAGGATGCAAAATTAAAAAGAAATTGAAATTGAAGCGGTGTAAATAACCAACTTACCTTGCAGTCACTGTCTTCATCTCTGCAAAACCTAGTTGTCTCCGTGACTACATTCGAAACCCTTGGGCCGACCATGGTTTCCGGCAAATAGTTCACAGAGAGATGACCCAAGAGATTCCAAGTATAAAAGAGAAGATCAGATGAACAATTATGGTATCCTTGAGATTCCTTCATCGAAGAAGAGAAGACCTAATCGAGAGAGCAAATCGAAGGCGAGACTTTTCTTCAGAAGAGAAGACCTAATCGAGAGAGCAAATCGCTGGCGAGAGCCACCGCAGCCTCTCCGTCTCCAATTCACCCCGGAGTAATATGAATAAATAACAATAATTCAATTCCCCATGCTCAGCCGCCGAATGACCGGCCGGTCCGCATCTACGCCTACGGGATCTACGATCTTATTTCGGCCGCCCGCTCCATGGAGCAGGGGAATATGTTATGTTTGGTAAGTTTTAAGGAGTATTAGATAGATAATGGTAGATAGTTGTAGGTGGGTAATAAAAAATATACAAAATAAAATAATGTATTAAAAATTTGTGTTTGGATGTTTCTTAGATAATCTGAGGTATGGAATGAATAAAATTACTAAAATATCCTTGTAGTTATGTTCTTACTAGTTTTTACCTCATGGTTTGCACGGTATTTTATATGCGTACATAAAATATATATATACAATATTATTTTTACATCAACTAAAAATTTTTTATTCAATTTATTAGAATTTATTTAAATTTTAAATGTAAAATTTTAAAATTAAATAAACACTCTTGGACAAAACTTCTAAAAGTAACATCATCTTATATAAATGCAACTAATTAAAATTTAGTTGTCATACATTTCATAATAAAACTACAAAAACAAAGTACTCAAAATTGCACAATTGTAGAAAAAAAACTAGGAAAAAAACCCAGAAAAAAGCACAAAAAACAGAAAAAAACCACCAAGAAAAAGAACATAAAAAAATGGGAGCAGAGTAAAACTCATGAGTGCCGCAACAACAAACCGAATCTCAAAACAAAAAAAAGTAGGAGTAAGTAAAAAATTACAGAAAAAACAAAGTAATGATCTCAATCCCTATTCCTTTAATATAATAAAGGAGACTCGGACTCATGGTAATGCGACATTTGGCATGCCTATTTGGTAAAATTTGAACACGTCACAAGCCACGTAATAATAGTAAAATTAAAAGAAAAATTTGCTACGAACTACACCAGCGGAGTTCCCTATCCTTTATTCGGTTATTCCACTTGACCGCAAAAGTTTCTATGATAATTGCTGGTCTTCAAAAAAAGGAATCGCTGGCTTCAAAAAAATTCTTTCCTTCGATGTTCGATGGCTGAAGATCTGCCGATAATGTATGCTTATAGCCCAAAAAAAAGGGATATATCTAAATATATGTTTTCAGATTACAACAATACAAACTCTTATTAAGATGATAAATGAAATAATTAAAAATAAATATGAAAAAATATAAATATTATTTAAAAAAAACAAATATAGTTTTTCATTTAATTTAAATAGAATTTTAGGACCATGCTACATATATTAATCATTTATCTTACTTATATATTTAAAAATTACATACTTAAATTAATAAGTTACAAAGGTTTATTATGGAAATTCGTGTATAATAAGAGTTAAAATCAAGAGATTACATATATTAATGGAAATTAGAATATTATTTTTTACAAAAAATATTATTAAGAAACAATCCTAAATAATACTAAATTTGAAGCTGATGATCACGAGTATACTACTCATCACCTTACTTATATTATGTATTTTGGATAATACTAATATTATTATGGATCCGTTTTTTTTTATAGGATGGATCCGTTTACTTATATATGGAAATCCTTCATTATGTGTCTTGGATCATCAATAATATTATATGTTAATATATGTTTTCTGATTACAATAAAACGAACTGCTATTACGAGGATAATATAAACAACTAAAAATAAATAACAGTAAAAGATAATGACTTTTCCTAAATAGCAACATATGTTTTTTATTTTTCAATGTAGCACTTTTAGTCATCATCAATTAGTCATTATTTAAATAAATATTCACCGTCACAGGATATTATTTCTCCTTCTAGACATTATTAAATGTTATTTAAGAGATAAAAGGTTTAAGTCTTATGTTGGAAAATGACTTACGTTTTAGTACTATATAGTGTAGATATTTATCATGGTTATTGTTTCTACATTGCATTTCATAGAAATTGGAGAGTTATACTAATTGAGAATACTTTTAACGGTGCAACGAGGATGTAAAAGATATCAGAGCTCGAGGACGGTTAACAATGTTATACATAACTCTTTCCAAGAAGCATGCGAAGCATTGAGGTTATTAGCCGATGATAAAGAATTCATTGAAAAAATAAAAGAGGGTGCTGAGCTAGAATCTGGAAGTCAATTAAGAAAGTTGTTTATTTGATCGAAGAAGAATATTGCATAATCAAGGTATTTTTATAATTATTTATTTTTTATTATTTATATCCTTTAATATAATAAAGGAGACTTAGATGCATAGAAATTTTCTACGCGATAATCATGTCTATGTGGCAAAATTTAAACATGTCAGCACGCCATGTAATATTCGAGTAAGCTAGTGGAAATAAATTGTACACGATGCACCAGCGGATCTCCCGTTGAAAACAATTGACCGTAGATTTTCTACGCGATAATCACAGGTCTTCAACGAAATTCTTTCCTTCAGATTACAACAATACGAACTCCTATTATGATTATAATATAAAATAATTAAAAATAAATATGAAAAATTATAAATACTATTTAAAAAATAAATATAATATTTTTCATTTAATTTAAATAGAATTTTAGGACCATGTTAGATATATTAATCTTTTATCTTACTTTCATATTAAAAAATTACATACTTAAATTAATAAGTTACAAAGGTTTATTATGGAAATTTGTGTACAATAAGAGTTAAAATCAATAGAGTACCTATATTAATGAAAATTAGAATATTATTTTTTACAAAAAATATTATTAAGAACCAATCCTAAATAATACTAAATTTTAAAATGATGATCACGAGTATGTTACTCATCACCTTATTTATATTATGTATATTGGATAATACTAATGTTATTTTAGATCCATTTACTTAAATATGGAAATTCTTAATTATGTGTCTTGGAATATCAATAATATTATATGTTAATATATGTTTTCAGATTACTACAATACCAACTCTTATTACGAGGATAATATAAACAATTAAAAATAAATACGAGAAAATATAAATACTGTTTAAAAAATAAAAAAGAGATATAATAATTTCATTTAACTTAAATAGAATTTTAGAACCATGCTACGTATGTTAATCCTTTATATTACTTCCATTTAAATAAATTTCATACTTAAATTAATAAGTAACAAAGATTTATTAATGGAAATTCGTGTATATATATGCTAAAATCAAAAGAGTACCTATACTAATAGAAATTCCAATACTATTTTTGATTCCTTACATATTTGTCTTACTTCCATGAGTATATTTTATTGATCACCTACTTATATATGGTCATTAACAAAATTTACATAAAATCTTATTAAGAACCAATCCTAAATAATACTAAATTTGTAAATTATGATCACGAGTATATTATTCATCACCTTACTTATATTATGTATCTTGGATAATACTAATATTATTTTTTATCTCTTTACTATATATGGCAATCCTTAATTATGTATCTTGAATAATCAATAATATTATATGTAAATATATGTATTCATATTACAACAATACGAACTCAAATTACGATGATAATATAAAAAAATTAAAAATAAATATGAGGAAATATAAATACTATTTAAAAATAAAAAAATATAATATTTTTAATTAATTTAAATAGAATTTTAGGACCATGCTACATATATTTATTCTTTACCAACGAATTCTCACCATAATAAAGTTCTTCCTAAAATACAAAAGGTAAGTAAATAATTAAATGTGAAACTATCCTAATCGGGTCATGCGTTAGAAAATGATTCCTACATAGCCATGAATGGTATGATATGATTTCCAAGAATAGATTATTTTCTTAACATATGGTGATTGACAAAATTTACGAAAAATATTATTAAGAAACAATCCTAAATAGTACTCCCTCTGTTCCCCATAGATCTTCCCAATAGCCCTTTTTCTTTGTCCACATTAGATCTTCTCATTTCATTTTTTAACAATTAAAATACCACAACTACCCCCACTTACTTTATTTATTACACCTCACCCATCTAATTTAATACACTTCACCCATTTTCATTAAGGGTATTATGGTAAACTTTCACCTTTTTTCAACTCTCCTTAAAAACGACCAAAAGTCAAAATGAAAATATCTTAGGGGGACGGAGGGAGTACTAAATTTGAAAATTATGATTACGAGTATATTATTCATCACCTTACTTAAATTATTTATGTTGGATAATACTAATATTATTTTGGATCCCTTTACTTATATATGACAATCATTAATTATGTATAATGGATAATCAATAATATTATTCACGATTTGTTTATTTTTAGTAAGGATTTCGTTATATCTAGAATGGACCCAATATTATTTTGAATTCCTTACTTATATATCTAACTAGCAATAAGTTAAATTGCTCACTTTTATATCCAAATTTATGGAAACTCTTATATATTTGGGTCAAAATCCTATTATAAAAAGAGATATATAACGAGTTGGAATGTGACATCCACCACCCATTTTCATTTTCCATTTCAATACATAGGCATTCAGAATTAATTATGCAATAAATAAGTGAAGAATCGTTAATTCAACTTCAGCCTTTTGTTTTTAAAAGGATTGGTGGTAGGAGCATCATATTTTTCAATTTCAATCGGGGCTATGGAAAATCAAGTTGACGATACATGGACAAGATCGGCTAGAGATGCAAGAGAAAGAAGAAAAGGAATACTTCAACAAAAAAAGATAAAAAAAGGTACGTACTTTAAATATATTTTTTTATCTTAATATATTTAATTTTGTTTTATTTTTTTAAGGTAATTTTGAATTATTTAAAATAACAAAATCAAACGGGATATTTTAGTGACCAAAATTTTTGTATTTAAAATTTATATGGTTTCTTTTTGATGAGCATTGAAATTTTTTTTATCTTCATATTTAAATCATTAGTATAGATAAATTAAATTATGTTATAAAAATAAAGTTTTATACAAAATTTAAAATTAGATGTCAATTTTAGAAGGATTTAACAAAATCTCCATGTGAAAATTAACACTCCAAGAAAA